GAATGAATCATTCATTATAAAATATATTGACATATTAACAGATGTTCTTCATACTAGGTATGTTTTTTTATACATTTTACGTAAATCTTATTAAATGTGTTAAATTTATTTTACTTGTGTATTTTTAGGTATAGAATTTCATTATTACCAGCTAAGGTAATGAATCTATATTAAGCAATTGTACAGTTTTGTTAAGTATTTCAATAATTTAATTTTATTCATTAGGCAGACATCGCAATTACTGGTGGTAATATCAGAAAAACTTACCTGACTTATTCTTCTTCCGTAACTCACATTTCAACAACATTTGCAATACATGCTGCAAGACCTTTAGATAAAACCCTGACATTGGTAAAACCCTTCGATATAATGGTAATTTTTCAAAAATAATTATTTTTTCGCTATTTATTAAAAACCACATTTTTTATTGTACGAATTGAAATTTAAAACAAAATTATTGAATGTTTTAAAACATAACAGATTGACTGATTGGTATTATATCGTAATGTAACATGTGAGCCATCTGTCAACAGATAGTTTGCCTCCCTAAAAGAAACTTATGCTTTATCTATCACAAAGATATGGAAATAAACCGAATTAACGTGGTAGATATTAGTAGAAAACCAAAAGAAAACCACGGCCAGATCTATGGAAAGGTATAAACTCGAACTTTACTACGAAAGTTTAGTTGTGTCATTTATATGGCTCTGAATATTCTGAAATAAAAATATTCTGAAATAAAAATTATTTTCATGTATTATCCTATTAATATTATAAACAGGTAAAGTTTGTAAGTTTGTTTGCAGGAGGTAATTTCCGAAATTACTCATCCGATTTCAAAAATTCTATCATTAATATTTAGAATAAACCTTCTGGGTGGACATATGCTGTATGCTATTGTGTTAAACATTCATATAAATTAAAAGATATCATCTAGGTAAGCGTTACAGTATTGGTGTCAGCGGGTGGCGAAAAGCAAGACACGTACCAATACGAGAAAGGTAGCCGTGCGGCGCAATCGCGTGGGCGGCGAGATACGCAATGCAAGTGTCCGAACTTGTAATATATAAAATTACATTTTCTGACTGATTCATCATCGCCCAGAGCAAATCGCTGAACTTAAAGATGTTAAATTTGGTACAGAGTAGAGTACATCATGAAAATCCACACTGAGAATGGATTTTTCAAAATTCACTTTCGGGAAGAGAGGGAAAAGATTAAGGCTTAATCTGAGGAACTGTACTATTTTAGATGCGATTTTTTATTTTTATAGTAATAACTAATGTTGAGTATCTTAGTGAAGTATTGAGGGAGAGTTATTGTAAAGTAGTGACCTTTTAGCAGAGTGGGAACAAAAGAGGCGCGAGCTTTTGTTCCCACTCTTTGGATCCACGTGCGGTCGGGTAATACCACTTGTAAAAGGATTGACTTGTAAACAATGGTAAACAAAGGAAGCGCCGGCTTTGTTAATTGGACCCACCTGCAGTCAGACGATAGTACATTTGCCATATTGCAAACAACAAACGTAAACAAGTGGCGGACGTTTGTGAGAGCTTCACTCTCGTCGGATGACGGCGGACCTAAGTGTAAGCTGTTCGGGCATAAAAAAGGGATGTGATTGGTTGGAAGTGCCCGTCCAAAAACCCTTAAATTGCGGGCCGAACGAGAGAGAGAGAGAGAAGGGCAAGAGACTGATACACGGTTGTCTCAGACACTTGGGAAATCCGCTGAGCGTAAAGAGAGAGTGTTCTCCTCTGTTAATCTTCTCAGAGACGGGTTAGTGCTGAGACCGGACTGTCCGTGCAGTTGAGCCGACTCCGAAAGCTGACTGAGGTCTCTCTCAAGAGTATTAGTTTCCAGACGCCAATCTGGCACGTTAATTCACCACGCATGATCTTCCTGTACATATACTATGTTTTTAACTTGTACAACTGTAAATAAACTGTAAATATATTTAATTTGAGTGTGGAGGTGTGCTTTCCGACGAACCTGATTCACTACATCGAGTTGTGATACACAAGAAACCAACTCAAGAAGACGGAGTTGGGAAGGAACATTAATAAAGATCTTCACTGTTATTTTTGTCAAATTGCAAATTCCGGGCTAGTGAAGCTGCGAGTAACAGCTAGTGTATAATAAAGAAAACGAAAATTTTTATTTTTTCACCGCAGCAAAAACGCCTATGATATAGCTTTTTTATAATTTTAAAACTTTTTAAATTAATATAATGTAGAACCTCTCAACAACTGGCACTCAAATAAACATGAAAATTTTTATGAAGCGGTCTTTNGCAGGGCCGGATCATCGCATAGACAAATGAGACAAATGTCTAGGGCCCGGTTTTTAGAAGGGCCCGGTCAAACTGTTTATTTTGAAAAGATTTGTAAATAAGATAGTTTACTTTTCTGTTGGACAACTGTAAAACTGGTTGAATATTATATTATTTAAATATTAACCAAAAAGGTTAAATGAAACAAGTAAAATGGCAAAACCGTATTTGAAACAACACTATGTCTTAGAGACACTACTAAGTGGAATCACTTTGACGCTCAAAGTGATTCCACTCGTTTTCATTTTCCAATCTTCTTCGGTATCGTTGCTTTTGGGCGCGATAGTTCAAACTTCGCCGTCCACGATGCATTTTTGATGAAATTAACCTATCCAATTTGGAAATTTCTTATCGTTGCACGTCGGCCCGGGTTGAATTTTTGTCGATACCTAACGAAAATTTCCCATTTTGAAAAAAATAATCGTGGCAATTATATCGTCTGAAATTATTTTTTTTTTAAATTTTGTACAAACAATATACAGTTTATCCCGATAATAACGTCAAATTTTTATCAGTCCCATGATTTTACTATTCTAGATAATGTTAAAAAACCTACTTGTAAAGGTGTAAAACCCTGTTTTAATGTCATATTTTAAGCACTCCCAAATTTACAAAATTAAATTACAAATTTTATTTAACAAAGAAAATACTACGTGTTCAGTCCTAGGGTCAGAGTCCATTTCCTAGAACGACTGTGGGTGGTACTCTCACCACCTGACTTTGGTTTGCCTGTTTGAAGGGAGAGAGTCGCCATTTTGTATTTTACTTTGAGTCCCCCCGAGTACCTACGAGTCTGTTTTTTTATACGCGCATGATTTGGGCACTTAATACTCTATGCCAGCGATGAGCAACACGCAGCCCGCGGGCCGCTTGCGGCTCGTTAAACATGTTTATGTTGCTTGCCAAGCATTTCTAATATTGAATTTATTTTATTGACTTTCTCTCATCAATACTGTAAGGTCTCTTTTTTATGCGGATTATTTTTATGCGATTTTGAAGTTGTGCGGTTTGTAATTCATCCAAAAATGTCTTGGACAAACATACATATCGACTTGTTTAAGAAGCCCGAGTATAGACAGTCTTCAAAAATCGTGGAACGCTCAAAGCTCACTCCATTTGTTCTACTGACATATAACGTTTATGGATGTAAAGGACAGCTAGATCTACCTTAATTTATTTAATTAATTTAATTTAATCCCCCTTTAGTTTTTCGCTCGAGTTAACTCGGGCAGGTTATATAGCGTTACATAAAACACGGTCCTTAAGGCCTAAATTTGTTTCAAATTTTTGGAATGTTCTTTGTCTCCAAATTTAAAAAAAAAATTTTTTTCGCGCGAAAAAATTTTATCGCGATTTTAATCTACCTTTGATAACGCACGATTAACGCTTAATTGTTTTTTAATGAGAGTTTGATATCAAATTTCATTCATCGTTCTAAAGTTTTAGTGCACGGATTTTCCTATAAGAATATCTATTGCAAATATCTATTGCAAATATCTATTGCAAATATCCGCAAATATCTATTGCAGAGACAGTCTCTTCTGATGATGAAGGTGGTTTGGAACCACTTCGCAAACGGTGCAAACCATTATCAGAGAGCGATAATGATTAAAAAATGTAAAACTATATTACTTTTCAATAAAATAAACTGAATTAAGTTTGAATACAAGTTTATTTTAAGCTTTTATATGAATTTTTTTCAGACATTCGAAGTAATTTATTAAGCAGCCTATTTCTTTTAATTTCTGCAAACTTTTTTATGCGGTTTTAAGTTAATTTTAACTCATTGTTTTGGTTTTATGCGATTTTAGAAAATTACGGAACGTATCC